TATAATAATCTCGAAAACTGTAGATGCTTATATAATATGTCTATCTGGGTACACCCGGTGACGACGAATTTTTCGTTTGTYGTCGATACGAATATTATATTATTAAGTTTTAAAGGAGAACAACCGTCGTCGCGGTGGGACGTTTTCATCGACGGGTTTTGAGTGTACACACACATATATACAATAATAATAATGTATATATACTTTATATTTAGTTCGGAGTTTGGGTATTATTCTAACGATATATCTTTATATATATATGTATATAATATGTATGTGTATAATGTAAGCATATTATGTTATCGTATTATATCAGCGTGTACGCTTCGTCGGTATATAAAGTAATAATAATAATACGTACAGAGAACTTGCATAATAACATTATCTATACCACTGTCGTAGAGTAGTTGTATATATACTACACACGTATATAATATAATAATATATTTCATTAGGTATAATCAACCGCGTTCCTGGTTCAATATGCATATCTACGTATAACAGCTAAATTTGGTTAACTTAAATACATGTGGGCACAATATTTAAATTTTTTCTTAAGTGGGGCAGAACAAAYTTATGGCAAAGATACGAAAGTGACAAAGTCTGCCATCCACCCCATTATGTGTATCTAAATTAAAAAATATGTTATAGAATTACGCCGTTTACATATGGGTAGTCTTACAAATTATCACCTAAGATTACACATTTAAAGTTTACCTAATTAATAAAAGCAAATTAGTTTATTTATTTTAATTAAATAGCCTTAATTTTCAGAGAAAACAATTTATTTTATCATTTCACCAAGCTTAATTTACTATTATACCTACAATATTGAGAAATAATCATTTCTGAGACTTTAAAATTAGAGTTAGAATATCGAACATGTAGGTCGGTACTATATGTAGGTAACGGCATACAATGAATTATAAAAATTAAAAATAAGTCAATAAAAAGCACCTATACTATAGCATTATTATTAATACTATACTATTGATATATTTATTTATTTGTTTATTATCTGACTACAGCTATTTGAACAAAAAATATTTTGTTGAAATTACGTAGGTTTTTCTTTTTAAAAATATAGGATAGTAATATAATAACGGAAAAAAAATAGAAAATCCTGGAAAATCATTGAGTACATGATGATGGATGTGTTAAACTTAAACTCAATCATTACATACGAAAAACGGAGATGTTTTCTACTGATCTTTGCACCGTAATAATTTAAGTGATTACATATTTTTGTACGACCCCTATAGAAGCTCACCTTAGTATTTTATGAATGTGAATGACAAGTTTAGTATAATTCAGAAATAAATAGGTATGAGTTTGAAATTTTTATGCATTTCTTTAATCCTGAGCTCAAATATATTTTTTTTAAATTATTATTTACGAAAAACATTTATTTTATTCAGTTACTATAAATCGTATTTATCATAATATTATACACTAGTAAATAAATAATACTAGATTTAGTGGACAGTAATATGATAATAAAATACCGATTGTTTTTAAATATAGGTACGTTTGGCGTTGTACTAATCGACTATTCTTCTTGAACTTAAATGACTAGATTTTTCAATACTTTTAGATGTTTAGATTATTATTTTTTAATATTTTAAGTACAAAAATCCGAACTTTCATTTATTTCAAAATAATGTATGCTTTAGAATTTTGATAGGTACTAAGTTTTATATCAAAAATTAAATAAATCAATATTTATCGGTTAATCTGATTATATTATTATAATTAATACAATTTTTCGAGTATTCCGCTATAAGTGAGCACCGGTATATAAGGACTTTTTTATCACTTTGAAGTTAATTATGTACTCGGATGTCGAGGATAAAAATTCAAAAAGTGTACAAAGGTTTAAAATATTTAAATCAGCTGTGGCGCTTTGGTATAGTTTAGCTTTTGTTAATACTTATAGCTTGCGAAAATAATAAATGGTATACGTCTGTTGCGAGTCGGTAAAGTTTAAGAAAATCAATCGACACGAGGATGATACAATTTTGCGATGTCGATGCAACTTATTCCTCCCAACTATCGTTTCTCCAACGACTCAACGAATTGATCGAGTTTGACTGCAGTCAACGTCGATATGTATATGCAGCTATGAGCTATTAATTATACCATTGATTTTATAATATATATATTATAAA